AAGTTTGATGTGTTTTTAGTGTTTTACCATTTCATGTTGTTTTTGCTGCTTTTATGATTTTATGTAAAGTGTCTTTGAGTATTCAGAAAAGCGCTCACAAATAAAATGTATTATTATAAGCGAGGGACAGAGGAGTGTGTATCAGTGTAGGGTGTGTATTGTACAAAGTGTGCTCGGTGTAAATAAAATAACTGCCTCCAAGAACTTACGTCTCCAAGTCAGCCACTACATTTGTATGGGGAGTGCGAACAACGTGCAATTAGCGCGCTGAGCTACGAACCCGGCGACTCGGGTTAGATTCCCGCTCATGGTCACCACCAGTAACGATTATGTGAACCTCGTCCTTGGCCTCCCCTAGGTCGACTCAGCCTCAAATCAATACCTGGTGGGGTGTATAACACATCAGCATTGGGGAGACAAAGGCGGCCAAAAGTGGATCTGACCACACCATCTCCTCGTGCGCCGTACCCCCCGCCTGCACAGGTGCTCGTGAACAGCCAAGTCCGTTTAACATCCTTACGGGGGATCTTTGTTTTGTGCCTCGTACAATTATTTGGTCATTTGAATATGTTCATTAATGTAACTATCACTCCGCCACTACGTCTCGTCTCCTCCCCCACTCCTCTCCTTCACCACTCAACCACCCACCCACCCCTCAACCGGCCTGCGCTCCGCTAGATAATTAATGATCGGCAATGCAATACCTGTTCTGAGAGCCACGGAGAAGAGAAATCCGTGGAAGCCGAAATATCCCCGTGAATCAACATGTATTTATTTATTTATACACTCATATATATATAATACAGGATACGAGAAATTGTTATCATCCTTCAGCCCTGGTCAATCCACTGCTGGATGAACGTCATCCAAACCGTTGCCACCGTATGTATGTTGAACTTCTGTCGCACCGTACGTAGCCAACCGTACTCATCGCGATGAACATTCACTTCATCGCCTGCACTCGAACTGGTTTCCGTGATTAGCCTGGACCATCACGCCATCGATCCCTTTTGCCCAAGGCCTCATCACAGTCGTCGATAAGAACACCGCGTGGAGGGAGGGTGGTGGTGTCCATGGGAGGCGGCTCCCCCCGCCCCCACCCTGTGCTGAACCCCCACCTCCTAGCCCAGGTAGAGAAACATTTCTCCCTCGTGCCAAGCGAGCATGAGTCAGCGAAACCCCGGGGAAAAATGTGGACACCAATAAAAGTGGCAATCAAGTGGTGGCTAGTGGAGGGGGAGAGTGGGGGCAGAGGAGGGGAGTGCGGGGGTTGTGTGGACGAAAGTGAAAGTTTTGTATTAAAGACTCCATAGACACTTGAGCATAGATAAAAGTTCTCCGTATAACCTTAAAAAGACTGTTAGGGGCAAGTTCTGTTCACGAGTAGCACCTATGAAGGCCGGTACGGCGCATGAGGAGGTGGGTGAGTGGCCAGCACTACGCCCGATGGACAGGCGTGGTGAAGTATGGTCATGAACCTCCTCTCATAGCCGCTAACCACTGCACCACCGCTCCCTACACAGGGTAACAATATCCCCCATATAGCCTGAACGGACTGTAAGGGGCAAGTGCTGTGAGCGAGCACCTATGAAGGCCATCACGGCATTCGATGGGGTGGTTGGCTAGGAACTAATTTACGGTTGAGTCGACGTACGGGAGGCCCATGACTGGATAAGATATTCGCTTTCACTGTTATTGGTCGTGAGCATGTCTGGAACGCGGGTTGCCAGGTTCGTAGCGCAGTGCGTTAACAACTACACTACCACTCCCCACCATCAAGACACACCAATACCAATATCCGCCATTCACTACTAAGTGACGGTGGTATCACTACGGCGCCTGTGCCAGGCCAGGTGCACTTTGAGACCACGTGAAGTGTCGAAGGCTCGCTGACAGGAGGTATCGGGACAGACCCAGGTGCCATGGGTTGGCTGACTGAGATGACTGGTAGATGCACCAGCTGTACCCCGACTGTGCTAACTTGCTGGATTTTAGCCACCCAGCACCTCCGCTCATTGTTATGAGCGTCGCTCCTCCACCCTCCGTTGTTGCTGGAGGGCGACTGCCTCCAACTGCCCAGTAGCGTTCTTCACGAGGCTCCTCCATAGAGGCCGATCTTGCCAACGCCGGTACCAGTCGTTGGCACAAACCACTCAGCTCCACATCCTCCCATACCGCATCAGTCCATCTCTTTTCCAGCCTATGTCGTGCCCGTGTAGTCCCCTCTATGCAGCCAAACAGAAGCTCCTTGGGCAGGCAGTGGCTGAACATGCGGGCTTCATGACCCAGCCAACGCAGCCTTGCCTGCCAGAGGAGCTCACTGATGGGAATGTGTCTAGATCTTTCAAGGATTTGTGAGCTCACACAATCCAGCCTGATTAAACCCAGGGTGGATCGTAGGCATGCCAGCCTGAATGTTTCTAACGGGCGCAAATGTTCCATTAGAGGGGTCCACGTTTCACAAGCATAGAGAAGAGAGGGCATGGCTGTGGCTGAGAAGACCCGAAGCTTTGTGCGGAGCGACAGACCAGGTAGCTTCCACACACCATTGTAGAGCCGATGAAAATAAAATGCCGCCCGACTGATTCGGAGTGAGACCTCTAATGTCAAACCGGAGCTGGTCATAAGCACACTGCCCAGGTATGAGAAACTCTAAACTATCTCCACTACTGCTCCATCACCAATGGGGAGCTGACAGGGTGGAGTGTTTGGTGGCACAAAATATCCAGGCAGGTGCCTAGTTTTGGTGGGGCTGATGGTAAGTCCCAACCTCTTAGTGGCAAACTCCAGGTTCAGCAGCAGCGCCTCCAACTCCTGCTCTGAGTGAGCAGCAATCACCAGATAATCAGCATACAAAACATGGTTGACCAATAGGGAGCCATCCCTCAACCGCAGCCAGGCATCCGATCAGCCTCCCGTTGTATCTCTACCAGATGAAAATTCCTCCAATACAGCCAAGGTAAGGTTCTCCAACTCCGTGGTCAAAGATTATGTTAAATAATGTTGGAGCCAAAGGACATCCCTGTCGCACCCCAAGGTGAACAGGGAATGACTCCGACTCCTGGCCACGTAGCTTTACCCGGGCCTGCCCACCACCATGAAGGCCCTTAATGATTGTGAGCAGAGAGTCAGGGACTCCGAAAGCATGAAGAACTGCCCACAGCCCTGGCCTGTTGATGGTATCATAGACCTTTACCAGGCCAATAAAGCAGAGATGTACGTCTTGTTGGAATTTCCTACACTAGCTTATATCAGGCCACTGTGGGTTTGAATGGGGTCCTAGATGGACACCCACCACCAGAGTGGAAGAATGGTAGGCGCATCTTATAAATGACAAGTCGATGTTCAGTGGGCAGATCAGCTCCACGGTAGGTCCTGATGTCAAAGACATGGACCCGCTTCCGCTGATCCATACTTATATAGTCCAGCAGATGTTCCTGATTGGAGCCGGTGTACATCCATGATGTTGTGTGGATGCGCCGATGCTGGAACAGCGTGTTCGTAATTGCAAGCCCATAGGCTGCACAAAGTCTAGCAACCTTCTTACATTATTATTGAGCTGATCTAGTCCATGCCTTCTGATCACTCCAACCAAGGTGTCTGCATCATGACCCACTGGGGCATTAAAGTCACCTAACAGGACTATCCCGAGGGGCCACTTTATATTGCACCTAGGAGAGGAGGTTATAGAAGGCATCTGACTCGTCGACCTTGTCTGCATCCCTCCACTGATTGGGCAGGAGGATGACGTCATGGCCAGAAGGGCCGATATTCCGATTCACGAAACCAGTGATGGGAATGCAGCTAGAGTAGAAAAAAACATGCTCCGGGAAGGACGTCTACAGTGGAGACAGAGCGAGGAATTCGAACTCTGGTCAAACAAAGGCTGTCACCGCATCGCGCACTTTCAGATGCGCTTCTGCGGCCATCTGGAACATTCTTACTTACGATATTAGGGAGCCACTGGAGCTATGCACTTTTTAAACTAGATTTAAAATCCTTTTCTTTAAAACAATATTTTGCGTTTAGTTTATTGTCCTTTGCCCACATGTCCGATTAGCACGGTTGGTTATGTACTCCGTGGAAGAAGTTCAACATATGTCCATGGTTATGCCTGGGTCTATTTCCAAACAATTATTTTCATTTTTCCAGCGAAACTCTTGTACAATATTGTATGTTGTGTTGATGTTCTCAAATTCATCCTGAGCCCCGCGTTGCAGCCTTCTCTGTGATGTTCCGCAATCGTTGCCTGCAGTTCATCACCAATTGTCATCACAATCACAGTGGACGCCAGCAAAACTGAGATGCTTAAACCTCTATTTATACGTGTTAAATTAAAGCGAAACCATTTTTATTTTACCATGTAAGGCCCACTGAGCTGTATAGGCCTTTATCAGAAGTGACTTAGCCACAAATGCTAGCTAAATGAAGTGGCTTATCACATGTAAATGTATAGCAGCCAAATACTCTAAATGCACGTTGATTTTAAATGTGGAGGGAAAAACCGGAGGGCCCAGAGAAAAATCCACGCGACCACGGCGCCCCGCATGCCTTGATTATTATAATATTGATGATAATAATGACGATTCTACTACTGATGCATGTGTACAATGATGTTGCTTATATTGATGATGATGCTGCTTTTGCTGATAATGATTGTCTCAACTCTGAGCATTGCGTGCACGTGCACACACTCCTACTTTAAGCCGCTGCTGTTGCTGATGATGGTGTTGCTGATGATGATATTATTCTTGGTTCTTTCGGTAAAGTCACGTAGAAGGGAAACAATAAAATATTTTTTTCTTGCTGTGGTTTTCACACCTGATGATGATTGCTTGTGTTGCAGTCGAAACGTCGTGAGAATTTTAATGTTTTATATTTTTATTATTTTATTGTTTCCCTTCTACGTGACTTTACCGACAGAACCAAGAATATGAATCCCTGCAGTCACGAAAGCTTTAAATCAAAAGATGATGATGTTGTTGATGATGCTCTCTGACCTTGGGGGGCAGGCTGCCCGTGCCCACGCTCAGCTCGTCTGGGGGCAGCGCCTCCCCCGTCTCCCCGTCCACGGCTCCCTGCTCCCCCCCCTCCTCCCCCTCCTCGTCCCCCTCCTCGTCCCCCTCCTCCTCCCCCTCCTCCTCCCCCTCCTCCTCCCCCTCCACCTCCCCCTCTCTCTTCTCACTGCGGGGCCCAGGGCAGTGGCAGGCGCAGGGGCACGGCCCGATGCAGTAGAAGGGGCAGGGCCCACCGGGGCAGGGCCCACCAGGGCAGGGACCGCCGGTGAGAGCCCGCGGCACTGCGGCCCCCCCCACGACGGGAGGGCGCTTGCGGAGCGGGAGGGGGGAGCGGGGTTTGGGGCCCCCGTGGAACAGGTCTCGGTTCGCGCCCAAGTCCTCGTCTTGCCTCCACAGCACATCCGTCAGCAGCTCCATCGCCTGCGGGGCGCACCCCCCACACCATCATCGTCAGCAGCATCAGCAGTAGGAGCAGCAGTAATAGCATCATCATCATCATTATAAGGTTACACACAAAGTGCTTGCCATAAATGAACCACAATACCTTGGTGATCTCGTCAAGGAGCGCAACCATCATGCAAGCTCCGGTCACCCTCGCAGCAGCAGCAGCGGATTTTGGCTAACCATCAAACAAAGACGTTTACCACCGCGCGCTTTCAGATGCGCTCTGCGGTCGTCTGGAACGCTCTTTCTGCCCACATGAGGAAGCCACTGGAGCTATGCACTTTTAAACCGTCTAGATTGAACATTCATTTATTTTGAACTTCTTTTTGTGCTTCGTCTGCTGTCCTTCCCCACACCTCCGATTACCACGGTTGGCTATGTACGGTGCGAAAGAAGTTCAACATAGAGTAGCAGCCGGAGTAGCATCAGCCGCAGCAGTAGTAGTAGCATCAGCAGCAGTAGCATCATCAGCAGTAGTAGTAACAACAGCACCATCTGCTTCATCGTCATCATCATCCTTAGCATCAGCATTGTCAGTATTGGCTGAATCACCGTCCTCATCAGTAGCAGCACCCATGTCATTATACAGCCGCCCCGATAGCAATGAAACATCACCATCAGCATAACAAGTGGCAGTGACAGCAGCAGCGGCAACATCATCCATCATCAAGAGCAGATGACATTACGGCCGTCATCATCCATGTTCGATCCACTGCTGGATGAATGTTTCTGTCTCATCTTCACGGGTCTCACCTTAGCATTGGCCAACCCATGACATCATCATAAACGCGAGTCCGTGTCCTCTGCGTCTGCAGCTCCATGGAGAAATCTGTGAGACACCAGATTAGATAAAAACATTTTAAACTTCATTGTACTTTTTTTACATTCCCATTATTTTATTCCAACTGTGCCTTCGACCTCGTGTCAAGAGACGAAGAATCCATCCGGGAACTCTCGCGAAACAGCGTATTATTGCCACGTCACAGAAACGGCCCGTGGAAGTGGATAACGCAGAAGCACTTCCAAGGTCCCTTGCCAAAGTGCCCCCCTTTATTCCACACGATAGGGGACGCGGCACTTTCCCCACTCGCGCTGCTTCAGAGAGAAATGCTAGTGGCACTGAGCCAGTGATATAAATTCCACATTCCTATGGCGGGGGTGGGGAGGGTGGGAATATTTCTACATGTCAACCACAGTGTACACAAGACATACACATCTCACGAGGGTCGAACGAGCAACCGTCCTGTCGCCCATGCAGATGAATGTTTTTAAGCAGCAAATCCCTAGACCGGTTTCGACATTTCCCAGTCTCGTCAGCAGGGTTGTAACCCGTTTTGCAAACTCTGCTGGTTTTATAAGGTTACACTCGTTACACACAACGTGTTTTCCACAAATTAACCACAATACCTTGCTGATCTCGTCAAGGAGCTTAAACTATCATCACGTGAACTCCGGGCATCCTCACAGCGGATTGTGGTAAGTCATCGAACAAAGATGGTTACCGCATTGCGCGCTTTCAGATGCGATTCTGCGGCCGTCTGGAATGCTCTTCCTTCCGATATTAGGAAGCCACTGGAGCTATGAACTTTAAATCATCTAGATTGAAGGCTAATTTATATCGAACTGCTTATTGTGTGTATTTTGTTGTCCTTCCCCCGCACCTTCGATGAGCATGGTTGGATAAGTGCGGTGCGAAAGAAGTTCAACATACGTACATGCAGCGTATACAAATAAAACATCGACGCTCATAGACGCCATTCGATGCGTCAATGATTCGATTCCACCGTTCCACCCTGACGACGCAATCATAGTACGTCACACCTCCTGGTGGCTTTTGACAACTGGTGGTGGGACCATCAACCACATCATCAGAGCATCACCGCTAGGCCGATGATGCACCAAAACTCCTTCATTAATTGAACATTGAAGATGCAGCCACAGTGGTGCGATTGTGGCCATGCAACCAAAACGATGGACCCATGTATTAAAAAAGACGCGTAGAGATACATAGATACCTATAGAGAAACATTAAAGATAAGTCACTGTCGTCAATTGTGGCCATGCAACCCCAGCTATGGACCGCACAGTGAACCCACTGTGGTCTGCGCTCCTTCAACGGAGGAGGAAGAGCGACACGACACAAACCCTCTCTCTGCTGAAGCCCTCTCGTCGTGGCCAGCAGCAGCAACAGACTTCGACATTGTCGTATAGCTCCACAACATATGGTTGTTCACACGCAAGAATGGAATTACATTTCAAAAGTTTTGATGCTTAGATTATAATGTTGCCACTGATGTCAGCGATGGCTGTGAATAGCACAGTGCGCTAACCACTGCGCCACCGCTCCCCCATCAAACAACCTCTCACACCGTACAAAGACAAATTATGGGTAAACAAAGAGGATAACTTTGAAGCAACCGAATACAGCAATTTAAATGTAAATATGCATTTTATTTTTACACGAATTTTGGAATCATTTAATTCTGCACTTACCAGTTAACGCGTTTGTATTCGGGTCCCCACACACGCGAGTACCATACAGTGCAGTTCATCAGCCTATCGGACTTGCCACACTTAACGAACTTCACCGTCAGCCATGATCAATCCAGTGCTGAATGAAGGCCTCCCCCGCCGGGTTGTGGCCAACGCTCGCGGTTCTAGCGCACACCCCTAGCGTGGGATGGCGGTGATGGTGGTGGCTACTACGCTGCACGTGGTTGCCTGTAAGCCAGCACTGTGGAGGCAGCGGCAGCGGAGGAGTTGGTGGATCGTACACAGACGTTGTCGAGGAGGAGGTGCCACCATAACCCCTGGCTCGCCAGGAGGAGAGCGGTTAAAGTACGGTAAAAACAAATGCGGACTTCACTTGTTCCGTCTGTATGGGGATAGAGTGTTTCCCCCTCACACGTGAGCGTGAGTTTTCTTCGGTTTCCTCCAACATGTAAACACTCATTAATTGGCTGATAACACCATATACAGAGGACCACAGAGCTGGGGCAGTCGTTGGTAGTGCCGGCTCCTCACCGCGTGGCTGCTGCTGCCTTCCCCCCTCGTATGTATGTTGAACTTCTTACGCACGGTACGTAGCCAACCGTGCGTATTGGATGTGCGGGGGAAGGACAACAAACTGAACACAAAAAGCAGTTCTAAAGAAAGTAGTTTTAAATATCGACGATTTAAAAGTGCATAGCTCCAGTGGCTTCCTAATATCAGAAGTAAGAGCATTGCAGACGACCGCAGAAGCGCATGTGAAGCGCGCAATGCGGTGACCGTCTTTGTTTCGATGGTTAGCCAAAAGTCGCTGCTGCCAGGATGACCGCAGTTTGTGTGAACTCCGCTCATCCCCGCAGCTCGCCTGTGGCTCCACCTCCTCCTGGGGCCTCTGGCCGATAACACCTCAATATACAGAGGACTGCAGAGCTTGGATCATTGTTGGTAACGCCGGCTCATTGCCACGTGACTACCGCTGCTACCTTCACGCTCGGTTCCTCCTCCTCGCTCCACTGAGTCGTCATCTCTCTTTGTTCGAGAGTGAGCGGATACTGTGTGGCGTCGCGCGTTGAGTTATCGATTGTTGCCAGGTTGCTTCTGACAAAGAGCTGTGTAGCTAAGGGGGCTTCACCTGGTAAAATAAAAATAATAATAATTTAGTTGTATTCGTATTTTTGTGATTGGCTTACCTTTCCTATACTTTGCACTGCTATTGTGTTTTGTATTGTTTGTTGTTGTAACGTTCTGAACCGCCCCTTCTCGACATCTGTAAAAAAGAGCTCTATAGCTTCTCGGATTCCTCCAGTATAAATTCATTAAAAAACATGTTGTATGTATGTAGACTTTCTTTTGCACCGTACATAGTCAACCGTGCTAATCGGAGGTGCGCAAAAGTTAAACACATTCGTCAATAACATCGTGCGGCCTTGGCAACGTTTTGGGCAATGATCCTTCATCATAGGACACGTGACAGTGTTATTTACGAATGTGTTGAGTATTTCTTTCTTAACGGTCGATGCGATAATGATGTCTTTAATCCGCGTGTTCCTCTTTCCTTCGGTGTGTCATTGTCTATCTCAACCATTCACATACACCAAACAATTAATATCTAATAACAATTATAATATATACAAACTGTGATATTATAATTCATATGTAGTATGGATACACACATAACCACCACGCCAGCAGTATTCCAGCACGCGAACTCGGAAGGGGATTTTCTCCTTTTTTTGACTTATTAGCAGTCAGGCATTCAGCTAAAAGTGAACCAACTAAACTGTCAGGAAAGTACTGCGTTGTATTTTACGCACTCTACTCGAAAATGTCATAATTTTTGTAAATAATATACGTAACATACGTGTGTAGCAATTGTTAGCTCATGTGCTGTCACGTAAATAGGTGTGTGTGGCATCAGGCAATGCGGCACGGTACTCACATTCTCACTTCTGCGCCTTTCTAAGCGGCTGTACGAGTCCCAGGTTTTGTTGAACCGCACGCAGTCAAAGTCTTGCAGTGACTGCCGGGGTAAGTGCTGTTAGCGAGCACCTATTTATGCTCCAACAGAACTCGCGGTACGTAATGGACACGGCCACGTAATCTCCGCACGCTCACACGCACGTACACACGGACATGAAACCACAAGGACAGAAGTTCCCCGTGTAGCCTTTTTACAGGCTGTAAGGGGCAAGTGCTGTGAGCGAGCACCTATGGATGCCGGCACGGCACACGATGCAGGTGGTGTGGCCAACGTCACGCCCGGCCGCCTTCGTCTCCCGCAGTGCTGACGCTTACAGATCGCACCGGGTACTCATTTAAGGCACACACATACACACACATCTGCAAAGACAAGCACACGTACGTTACATGCACATATATGCTGTACACATACAAAGACAAATATCCCCCGTGTAGTCTTAACAAACTTTTGAGGCAAGTGCTGCTAGCGAGCACCTATGCAGACTGGAAAGGCACGCGCGGGGGTGGGCTAACACTACGCCCGGCCGCCTTTGTCTCCCCAGTGGCGATGTTTTTAAACACCGCAACAGGCACTCATTTGAGGTTGAGACGACCCAGGGGACGCCCAGCACCGGTTCAGAAGATCGTCACCGGTTGTTGACGAAGCGGGAATCCAACTTGGGTCGCCTGGGTGCATAGCGCAGCACGCTGACACATACACACGGACACACCGCTACACACGCACTGACACATACACACGGACACACCGCTACACACGCACTGACACATACACACGGACACACCGCTACGCACCCACAAAAAGATCCCCCGTATAGCCTTAACAGAATGTAGGGGCAAGTGTTGTTAGCGAGCACCTATGAAGACCGGATCGGTACACGAGGGGGTGGGTGGCCAGCACCACGCCCGACCGCCTTTGTCTCCCTAGTGGCAATGTTTACACACCGCACCAGGTACTCATTTGAGGCTGAGTCGACCTAGGGGAGGCCCGGGACCGGTTCAGATAATCGTCACTGGTGTTGGCCGTGAGCGGGAATCGAACCCGAGTCGCCAGGTTCATAGCGCAGCGCGCTAACCGCTACACTATCGGACACATACACACGGACACACCGCTACACACGCACTGACACATACACACGGACACACCGCTACACACGCACAAAGCACTTCCACGCCCCAGGTTCCTCTCTGTGTCGCTTGCAACAGAGCGACGTTGAAGGGTCAGACACTCCAGAAAACCACAGCCCAGGGTCCGAGTTCTCCTTTGGGGCTCCCCCGTCCTACAAAGGTCGGCCACTTCACGCGCAGGTGGTGCCCTCCGTGAGGCAGCACAGCAATTAGGTTGCTGAGGTGTGGCACCTG